ATTTTGTCATTTGGGAGTTGTAGTTCCTGGAATTTATAGTTCACCTACAATCAAAGAGCATTCTGAACTCCACCAAAGTTGGAATTGAATCAAATTTGGCACACAGAACTCCCATGACCAAAAGAAAATATTGGAAGGGTTTGGTGGGCATTGACATTGAGTTTTGAAGTTGTAGTTCATTTACATCCAGAGAGCACTGTGGACTCAAACAATGATGGATTTGGACCACACTTGGCACGAATGCTCAATATGCCCAGATATGAGCACTGGTGGAATTTGCAGAAAATAGACCTTGACATTTGGGAGTTGTAGTTGTTGGGATTTAGAGTTCACCTACAACCAAAGAGCATTCTGAACTCCACCAATGATGGAAATGAACCAAACCTGCCACACAGAACTCCCAAAACCAACATTTTGGTGGGCATTGACCTTGAGTTTTGGAGTTGTAGTTCACCTACATCCAGAGAGCACTGTGGACGCAGACAATGATGGATCTGGACCAAACTTGGCACGGATGCTCAATATGCCCAGATATGAGCACTGGTGGAATTTGCAGAAAATAGACCTTGATATTTGGGAGTTGTAGTTGCTGGGATTTATAGTTCACCTACAATCAAAGATCATTCTGAACCCCACCAATGATAGAATTGGGCCAAACTTCCCACACAGAATCCCCATATCCAACAGAAAATGCTATGTTTTCTGATTATCTTTGGCGACCCCTCTGACACCCACTCACAACCCCTCCAGGGGTCCTGACCCCCAGGTTGAGAACCACTGCTTTAATGGTTTTAAGTATTGTCCCAGGTTTCCTACAGACCTTCTGCAGTTTCCAGTTTAGCAATTGTATGCTATATCTACAATGAAGTCAGCTCTGAATTTACAACTGGAAAAAAGGGAGGATCTGATTTCTTTCCTTTCCTTATCACACCCAACATTCCTAGGAGTGACTCCCTTTTACTTTACTGGTTTTCTTTAATAAAGGATTGTGATACACACTTAGGGCTGCAGGTGGCAGTGACCTCTTGTGATTCTCATATCCCAGGACTTTCCTCGGAGTAAAAAAGCCAGGCATTTAAAAAGGATATTTAGAACTTGTGTATAATCAGCCCTCTGATGTTGCACTTAAGATGGATTTGCACTGCCAGATAATAATAATAATAATAATAATAATAATAATAATAATAATAATAGTCTTTATTTATACCCCGCCAGCATTTCCCAAAGGGGAGATGGTGGCGGGGTATAAATAAAGCCAAAGCCGAAGATACAACACAGCAAAATGGAATACAAAAACAACAAAAATTACATCACAATACAATACATAAATTAACAAGATGCAAAATAATATAATAAAAGTTGAACACAATGGGCGCGCCAAATGCACGAGATACAATGATATAGTCTACACTGCCAGATAGTCCAGTTCAAAGAAGACCTACAAGAAGCACTGCCTGAATATCAAGCTAAAAGTGGGCGCTAGAAACAATATCATACGAAAGCTGACTGGCACAACCTGGGGATCACAACCAGACACAGTGAAGACATCTGCCCTTGCACTATGCTACTCTGCTGTTATGCATGCCCAGTGTGGAACACATCTCACCACACTAAAACAGTGGATGTGGCTCTTAATGAGACATGCTGCATTATCACGGGGTGTCTGCGCCCTACACCACTGGAGAAATTACACTGTTTAGCCGGTATTGCACCACCTGACATCCTCCGGGAAGTAGCAGCCAATAGTGAAAGGACCAAGGCAGAGACATTTCCAGCTCATCCCCTGTTTGGGTATCAGCCAGCACGTCAACGACTTAAATCAAGAAATAGTTTTCTAAGATCTACAGAGACACTCGCTGGAACACATCAGCAAGCGAGAGTCCAAAAGTGGCAGGCTCAAACCCAGAACCTCAACCAATGGCTGATACCAAATGAGAGACTCCCCCCTGGGCACACAGAAGACAGGGCAACTTGGAAGGCACTGAACAGACTGCGCTCTGACACCACGAGATGCAGAGCCAACGTTCAAAAATGGGGCTACAAAGTGGAATCCACAACATGCGAGTGTGGAGAGGAGCAAACCACTGACCACCTGCTGCAATGCAACCTGAGCCCTGCCACATGCACAAGGGAGGACCTCCTTGCGGCAACACCAGAGGCACTCCAAGTGGCCAGATACTGGTCAAAGGACATTTAATCAACTACCAAGCTTGCAAACTTTGCGTTTTGTTTGTTTGTTTGTTAAAAAATGCAATACAACTGTTTGGTTTGCTCCTGACACGATAAATAAATAAAACCTGGATTCAGAAATAGGACTATATGGCAATGCAGATGGAGGTCTCAGTTTTTTCCAAATATCTATACACATAATAAAAGTGAAAATGTGTATTGTGTGTGTGGCTGTGGTGTCCACTTCCACAGACAAGCCTCTGCCTCCACAAACATCTATAACTCCCACTACTCACTAGACACCAAAAGCCCTCCCTCCAATGACATTGCAGGTTATAGTGAGCGCCGTGAACATATCCAAGAGCCCTGCCAGTGTCCTCCAGAAACACCATACTGCCCACCCCCAAGTGAATGTTTTCATACAAGGACAATTTCATCCTAGATTTTCAGTTTTTCCTCCACCACAGACATCCCAGTGTTTCTTACTCTCTCCATTGGTGTGGAATATGTATGACTGCCTCTTCTTTAACCCTTCCCTATTTTTTTCTATGGCACACAGCAAACAGAGGAATTTTTCAGCAACTGAACATACTAGAGAGATTTGGGGAGAATTTACCGTGATTTATAGGAGTTGTAGGTACTGGGATGTATAGTTCACCTGCAATCTAAGAACTGCACTCGGAACTCCACCAGTGATGGACCTGGAACTAACTTGGCACACGGAACCCCTATGACCAATAAAACACACTGGAGGGATTTATAGGAGTTGTAGTTCACCTACATCCAGAGTGCACTATGAACCCAAACAATGATGGATCTGGACCAAACTTGGCATGCATACTTGATATGCCGAAATTTGAATGCTGGTGAATTGGACATTTTTTAGTTGTAGGTACTGGGATTTATAGTTCACCTGCAATCAGTAAGCACTCTGAATTCCACCAAAGATGGAATTGGACCAAATTTGGCACACAGAGCCCACATGACCAGCAAAAAAATACTGGAGGTCTTTGGGGAAAATTCACCTTGATTTGAGGGAGTTGTAGTTCACCTACATCCAGAGAGCACAGTGAACCCAAACACTGATGGATCTGGATCAAACTAGGCAAACATACCTGATACGTTGAAATGTGATTACTGGAGGGGTTTGGGGAAAACTGACTTTCCTTTCTGGGAGTTGTAGTTCATCCACAACCAGAGAAATTGTGACCTCCACCAATGATGGACCTGGTCCAAACTTGGCACACAAACCCCCATAACTAACCCAACCTGCTAGAGGGGTTTGAGGGAGAGGCTCACCACAG